TTCCCAGAAGCAGCAGATGCTGAGCATAGAAACAATAAGTACCCACTACACAAAGTACATTAACTACATATTACACATAGTGCAATATTTGGGCTAATAGCTCCATATTTTATTAGGGCCAGAATAGACAATCAGCTTCCTTGACCATAAAGATTGTGCTGTTTATATAATCTTATTTTAAAACCATTGCAGCTCCACCTCCCAGATGAAGATGAAGGGTCTATACTCCTCAGTTTCTTGGTTGCTCCCCTTGAATGTAAGATGCACGTAGGAGTGTCTATTCATGTCATACACACCAGGGTTTCTCTTTCACTAAGTGGAGGGCAGGGTAGCCAAGAAGGAAGCACCAGCTTTCCCGACAGATCCCATTCACATTCCAACTCCACATGCCCCAGCTTTGTGACCGTGGGCACATTACTAAACCTCTCTCTGAGCCACAATTTCTTCACCTGCAAAATATGGAAAATAATACTACCTTGCAACATTGTATAAAGGTTAGAGATAATGAACACAAAGAGCGCTGTGCCTGACAAATGGTAGCTATTGCATTATTAATAAACTGAAGAGCTCCCACACTACCTCTAAGAGCTAATGCACACTTGGCCCTAGGAACGTCTTCAGGGCCACATTCCATTTCATACCAACCTATTTCCTTGTCAAAAGCTCCCTTTCCTACCCCGTGTACCCAGGGATATGGTTAATATTGATTCCAATTAGGTCATACTACACAGAAAAGGGGGACGGGGTGAGGATGAAGGGCCAGTTTTTATGTTGGATTTCCCCACAGATCTACATACTTTATCTGAAATGACACCACAAGATATCCAAAATCCAAAGAGGACTTTAAAATGTGAGCTAAGAAAGACAATACAGCTTCACTGGTACTCTGAATTTTTTAAAAAAAATGAAATAAAAATACAATTCAGAAAAACCATAGCTGGCACCATCTCCAGAGCTAGGGCTGTTCAGAGCAGGGCAAAGTTCCCCAGCGGGATTCACGAAGTATTCGTCTCTTCATTGCACAGATGAGGACACTGAAGCTCAGAGAGATGAAATGACTTTCCTGAGGTCTCACAGTTCACAGATATGGGGCACATTTGGAGCCTCATTCCCCGCTCAAGGCCTCTCCCACCCACTCCCCAGCATGTGTATCTGGAGGGAGGAACGTGGGACTCTCAGTGGCCCCAGAGGAATAGAGAGGAGGCTGTGCCAGGACAGAAGTGACGACCATGCTGCAGACAGATCCTTGTGCCCCTCAGATGGATCACTGATAAAAGGGCAGCAAAGCAGGCCTTGAACCCCTGAGCTTTCTCCTGGCCACTTCCCCTGGCCAGATTTAAGTGACTTAAGAATCACCCATTGTTTTATATTATAATATGGTATCTGCAGTTCTCTTAACACAGATAATCAAAAACTAGCTCTCATTAATGTCCCTCAAACAACAATAGGAATAGAACAAATAGTTTAGCTAATAAGTACCGTGTTTCCCCGAAAATAAGACCTACCTATAAAATAAGCCCTAGCAGGATTTCTAAGCATTTGTGCAATATAAGCCCTACCCCGAAAATAAGACCTAGTGATGGGCGTGGCTACGCAGCGTATCTGCACAACCCATGCATTTCGTCGCAGAGCAATAAAGAAGACGAGCAGCCCTTCTCATCTGCCCCACGAGAGCTCTATTGTCGACATGAGAGATTGGGGCCAGTGGTTCTAAAGGAAATAGAGTTGCAAGAAATTCAGGGTGGAATTCGGGGTTTGGTGAGTTATGATGATGTTCCAGAAGAAGATGACTTAACTATATTTGAATAAATGTAGATTGTTGTACCATACTTAAAAAGAAATAACACATCCCCTGAAAATAAGCCCTGGGGTGTCTTCTTAAGGAAAAATAAATATAAGACCGTGTCTTATTTTCGGGGAAACACGGTACATGATAAAAAAGGATTCCAATAACCCTGTCTCAATCTCCTGCTTCAATTCGCTCTACACTCTAGCAAAATCCAACTGCTATGACATCCCCGTACACTCTACTCCTTCTTCCCTGCATGACGTGCCTGCTGACCCTGCTGGCTGGAATTCCCTTCTGCTCCTTCTTTGACTCACTCATCCTTTAAGACATTGCTCAGGCACCACCTCTTCCAGGGGGCCTTCCTTCCTTCATCTTTGTGTCCTGGCCCATCTTAAGCCTAGGCGAAGGTGTGTCAAGTGTGTGATGTTGAAAGGAAGTGGTTTATCCCTCTTACCCAGCACCAGAGTTCCCTTTTCTCCAGTCCTAACCCACTGCAGCCATTCCAACAACTCCTCCTCTAACACGCTTACGGTTGTATGAATCAGGCCACATGTGTCATAGGTCACTGAAGCTCTGGAAATGTCTGCTAGAAAATGTCAGCTTCCTTTCCTGGCAGAGAGCAAAGGAAGTAGGAAGAAGGAAACCATAGCAGTGGGGAAGACAGGATGATGAGTACAGAAAAGCAGGCAGAGAATGACACAGACGCACCTGGGGCAGAAAGCAGCCTAGACAACATGACCATGAATCAGACATTGTCCAAAACATTGCTGCTTCTCTTGCAGTTTTCAGCAACCTGCCCCCCGGCTTTGGGTTCCCAGGTTCGCAGTTGTTTTTCGGAAGAACTATGCGGTGAACTAGATCCATGGCTGCTTCCACATAAGGCCATCGTCCCTTTAAATAACCTCTGTCTTAAGTTAGGCCTGGGACCTAGCTGTCCCTACAGCAGGACTAGAGGGCCACGTGGAGGTCATAGAGATTGTAGGCTCTGCCTCAAGATAGAACTCAAGGGGCACCATGGGATTTATAGAACAGACAGCAGGAGACACAGGGTCTAGCCTGCCCAGGTCTGGTGCCCCTGGACATAGCCTTATTCCCCACCCAGTAATGGCCCCTCCACATTATACATAACACCGCACCTGGCATAGACAGCTCCTAGACAAAACACAGGCCAAATCTCAACTCCGAACTTCTCTGATTCTGATTCTCATTTGTATAGCTTAACAAATCAAATTTGTTCAAACTCATTCACTTATGAACTTTGGCTGGCATCCAGTGTCACCAGTCCAAGCCAATGGGTCCCATGAAGCCCATTACATGGTCTTCTATGGCCAAAAATTAGCTCCCAGATGTGACACAAACTGCCATTTCCCTTCTGGTCATGGTTACCATGGGGATCACCTTATGCTTCTCTATGGAAACCAACTGTAATGCTCTTGCTAATGACCCATGCCTTGACTCCTGGGAGACTAGAAACATTAGGCAATCAAAGCATTTGTGCCTGAAATGCCTCTTTCCCTTGGAGCGTAAGTATGGGTGAAGAAGGACAAGGGACAGAGAAGATGGTGTACCCATTCTGTTATGAAGGAGGTTTCTCCTGGCCCTTGTCCTCTGTCAGTGGAGCTTAGATATTTGATAAACTTAAGAAAAATCAGAGATACCATAGAGATGCAGTGAGGGAATAAAACACTAAGGGATGATGGTCAAAGGATGCAAGATTTCAGTGATTGGTGGAATGAGTTTAAGAGCTCTATTGTACAAGATGGTAGCTATAGTTAACAACACTGTGTTGTAGTCTTGAAAATCACTAACTAAGTAGATTTTAAGGCTTCACACCACAAAAAGTGTGTGAGGTAATGCATATGTTAATTAGCTCAATCTAGCTATACTACAATGTATACACATTTCAAAACATCATGTTGTACATGATAAACATATATAATTTTATTTGTCAATTAAAAACAATTTTTTTTGAGACAGAGTCTCACTCTGTTGCCCAGGCTAGAGTGCCATGGCGTCAGCCTAGCTCACAGCAACCTCAAATTCCTGGGCTCAAGCGATCCTCCTGCCTCAGCATCCCAAGTAGCCGGGACTACAGGCATGCACCACCATGCCCAGCTAATTTTTTCTATGTATTTTTAGTTGTCCAGCTAATTTCTTTCTATTTTTAGTAGAGACAGGGTCTCACTCTTGCTCAGGCTGGTCTTGAACTACAGAGCTCAAACGATCCGCCCTCCTTGGCCTCCCAGAGTGCTAGAATTACAGGCGTGAGCCACCACGCCTGGCTTAAAAACAATTTTTTTAAAAGCCCAGAAAAATCACTAAGCTAGGAGTCAGGAGAGACCTAGGTTCTACATTTGACTCAGTCAGCAACTCTCTCCATGAACTGATGCAATTCACTAAACTTCTCAGGCCCTGTTTCTTCATTCATTAATTGAGAAGTTTGACAGAAAAAAAAATTTTTAACTCCATCATTTAGTATTTTGGTAATTTTTTTCTGCTCTCAATTTACAAAATAACTTCTCCCCTACATGGACAGTTACCAGGTGAGAAATAGGAAAACATAACAAGACCAAAAATAAAACACGGTGCAGGTCATAGGGCCAGCAGCTACAGAAGCCAAAGCTGCAAGACAGAGGTCAGAGTCTGAAGCCAGGCAAGCAATCCGGCATCAGAGAGCCCAGGAGTCCAAAAGTGGATCCATATACTCAATGAGGAGACACCAAGACCAAGAGATGAGGGTATCAAAGAAACCCAAAGCAAGAAATCATATACGAGCCCCACAGTGGGTTAGACTACATTAATTCCAAGTCAGAAAATAATGAGTCAAAAGCAAAACAAAGGCTAAAAAGTTGGAAGACATTAAGAAAAAAATCAAATCCCAGCAACTTCTCCTCTAAAATACTTCAAGTCATGCATCTCAGGCCATGCCTGTCATAGACCGCACTAGAAGCTGTGGGAATGTCTGATGGAAAATGTTACATTTCCTTTCCTGATAGAATTTTCCAGAATTTAAATGGCCAATGCTAAGGGCGGGGAAAAAAAAACTCTCTAAAGTTAGTTCGAAACCTATGGGATCAAAAGGACAAGAGTCTTGTGGCTGAGATACAGGCATCTTGGGACTCATTTTGTACCAGATGTTTTGTTGCCACTGAGGTCTCTTTCCAAGCGTCTCTGCTGTGCCTCTCAGCTCTCTCTGTTCTGTACTTTACAGATAGCTCGAGTTTCCCAGAGCCTGGGGCTTGGTGATGAGAGCTTATTCATTATTTCAACAAATATTTACTAGCTACCTACTACAGTCCAAATACCATGCTAGGAACTTAATATAAAGGCACGTTGATTGCTGCTTTAAAATCCACATAATTTGTGGTTGACTTTCTGACTCCATCTTAATTCCTTGCTACTATACAACCTCAGGAGTTTTTGATAGACTTTTAAGGAATGTTTCCCCAGGCCTTGGATCCTCCAGGTACAGTGGAAAAAGAACTGGGTTCTTACGCCAGCTCTGCTGCTAACCTGCTTTGGGCCAAGTCTAAGTCACAAAAACATTCAAGCTCTCAGCTTCCTCTTCTGTCCCGTGGACTTAATCTTTCCTCCCCTGCCTCTTTCACAGGATGCTGGGAGGAGTCGATGAACTAACACCTGTGAAATCACTTTGAGATATGGCTCATTGGTGACAAGCCAGCACTCAGCAAAGAGGGGGCTTCCATGTGAACCAGGGTTTCTGATGCAGCCTGGCTTCCTCAGCCATCTCTGCGTCAATCAGCTGTCACTGCTCCTTCTCCTCAAACCACGTGAATTTTAAAAGCCGGCACAAGCTCATCTGGAATTCACATACCCAAGCCTCAAACAGACAAGGACGACGTGAAATTGGAAATACAGGAAGATGGCAGGTGGCACTGCTCTCTGTGAAAAATGAGCATTGTGGAAACAGCCTCGCCTCTCCCCAAGATGCCTGACATTGTGGATGATTTGTAATGCTCTCACCGAAAAGCCCTCATCCCCATGAACACATTTTGAAGATAGAAATCAATCTTACCCTATGACAGGGAGAGAAAAATCTGTTAGGAAAAATGAAGAGGAGAAAAACCACCTAATTCTGGGATCCTTTCTACTAAATAAATGGGTTCCAGGGAACTAAGGCTGGATCCATATTTTTCCCTCAGTCTTGCCATGTACGGAGCAGCTGCAAGAGGTGAGATTGAAGAGAGAGACTGTCTAGCCAGCCCCACCAGCTTCCAGCTTTTCCATCTCAATAATTTAGGCTGGCTGCCAGCCACGGCATTTCATACTGGGTCAGCATTTGCCTCTGTCAGGCAAAGAACTAAAACTCTCACAGAACCATTCACAACTACGCACTATGATGCATTGGGCATTACTACGCAAGTATTGGCTGCCACCATAACCTTGGGATATTTGTGATTTTTAAAATAAGGCAGCAACACACGGAGGTTTAATTTAACCCCCACAGCAAGATGAATTCTGCTTCTCAGACCTGCAGCCCCTCAAGAATAATGTCACCATGAGGCACACTGGAGCCCATAGCTGAAAATCATCACAGAACACATTGCAGTAAGAATTCAGCCAATTTTAGATTGAGGTAAATTATTGAATCAGGCAGAAATCAGGAAGGGGTACTAAATAAAGCCAGAATTCTAGATTTTGGTTAATCTATAATATGATGTTTACAGATGACACTATATAATATCTACTATTTAATCATAGTGTATGTGATGGTATACATATTATATACTGGCAATTATTTGTAGCATAAACATATTTTACATAGCATATATTTGGAATGCATGGCATGTGTATTAAAGCCTTATTACCTAGTAGCTCATATTTGAATTTTCTACTAGAATATAAATTTTGAGATGATATTACTTTCTAATTTCTAAATAATTATAGCAATCTAAAACATCAGCAAGATGAAAGAAAATCTGGCTGTCCTTAGATACTACATATATATATATATTTTACAGTCATAAATTTTAGTTGCAATATTCAGGGTGTGTATTTACCGTGCAAACTGTACATGTGAAAGAATTTGCAGGCACACAAATAAAAAGATATAATAATAAAAGACAAAAAACCTAGCAAAGTGGAGGGAAGGAGACAAAAGGTGTGTGGTCAGGGAGTTAGAAAGTCACTTCCATGAAGAAAAGTCTAAAGTTGATTCTTAGCAGAGCAGGTTTACAGACTGAAAAGCTCCCATCTTTTCCAGCTAGGTAGGATGTCCATAGCCTCTTACAGTGAGTGTTGCATTATGTTATGGAGAGTTTCAGAAAAGCCACCTGAAGAACAGGTCTCGTTATGAAAAGAGAGAAGGGTTGGTGTCCAAAGCAGCGTTACCTACCTCCCTGTCTTCTCCCCAACTTCATCTCCCAGCCCACTCCTGAGAATCACATGAGCATATGCTCTCTTTCCCAGCCCTGCTCTCTTTCCCAGGGCCCTTCCAGCCTTTCCATGTCTTAGGAGCTTCTCCACTGGAAAAAAACATTCATCCACAGCTGGTCTAGAGAAAAGTGATAATGTAAGAGCTCACAGGGGGTCACCAATTCAGTAAAAAGCCAGAGAGCTAGGACATATCCGGGGCATCTGAGCACATGCCAGAAAGAAGGCACACCCTGATCCACCTGAAGGACTCAAGGAACAAGATAGAGCATGGCCCTGGGAGTTACCTGGCTATGTCCTGTACGTGCCAAGAAGGAAAGGTGCTGAGACTTGAGATTTCCTTAAAATGCAGTCATGAAAAAAGGAGGAGCTGATTGGATGGAAAGAAAGGGTGTATTGAAGAAATGCTGTGGTGACTTCAGGAAAATAAGAGACACTGTAGGGCCATGTGAGAACGTTCTGGCAATGACAGCAAGCTCTAGAAGAGGCCCAGCACCTGATGTAAATACCTTGAATCCAAGACAGTAAATATCCTGGCAAAATTCCATCATTTACATTCTACATTTCAATTCTCTAATTTCCAAGAGTCAAAGACAAATCAAGAGATAACTCACCTAGCACTCTGGGAGGCTGAGGCAGGCAGATCATTTGAGCTCAGGAGTTTGAGACCAGCCTGAGCAAGAGTGAGACTCCATCTCAAAAAAAAAAAAAAAAAAAAAAGAGAAATATAACTCAACCTGACTATCTTCCCTATAATGACTTCAATCCTGCGGATGCCCAATGATATTACAAAGATTGAAAGCGTCGCTGCATATATTCAAAATCAGCTATAATTAATTCAGAAACCGGAGAGAGAATTTTTTATACATAAAAAGAAAGAAACCACAATTTTAGTCATACCCATATTTTCCAAGTGCCTCTGCCAATGATATAATACAAGCAAGGAGTCCATATGGCAATTAAGTGGGTTATCCACAAGCTTCCAAGTCAAAAGGTCTTTTCAATAAGATATGAAAGGCTACTTGAAAGAATTTGAGGTCCATCTCTGACACTAGTGAGCTTTGCATTTTAAAACTATTCCTCCCGCAGTCAGCAAATATTCTTTCCCCAATCCAAAAGCCATGAATAAATGAGCATAGAATCAACACAGCTGAATAAGAAAAAAAAATACTCCCCAAGTATTGGCTACCACAGCAATGTACTCAACCAAGATTATGGTAAAGGGGTGTCTTAAGTGTGAAGACTCGGCCATAAAGGCCTTAATGTAGAGAGTAAAGATGAAAATATACAGTCAGACCCAGTTTCGAATTTCTGCATGGTGTTAACAGCAAAGGGCAGTAACTCCTGAGCCTAGTTCAAAGCCTTTTATTTCTTAGGCCCAAGTGTGGTAGGTTGAGCCTAGTTGCCTGGAAGAAAGAACATAAGCTTTGGACCTTACTCCAAACCCCAGCTTCATCTGTGGATAAGTTGCTTCCTTCTCTGAGTCTGTTCCCTTCTTTTGCTGTCAGTGTCAATGGTCCTGTTTGAAGGGCTAGGATGATGAATCAATAGGGAAATATGTGTGAATCCCTTAGCATAATGCTTAGCACACGTTAGCTCTCTCCCACACTTCCGACACCAATGTTTGGGACTATACCTAGGGAAGGCAGATGAGGCTGTTGGTATTTAGTGGAAAAAATAGTCGGCTAAGAATTAGTGACCTTGCTCTCACACCAACTATCTCTCTGGCCTCGGACAGTCACCTCACTTCCCATCACATGCAAAATGGACTAGATAATCTCTGAGATGTGCTCTGGCGATAGGAGAATTCAGATTCAAAGATGGGAATAGGTGAAAGTGCTAGAAGAAAAGTGTCATATCTAGGGTTGTAGAGAGAAATCAGCCTTGGGGTCCACCAGATTTGCTGAACAAGGTCAGAACTGCAGCCATCTCGGGACCTGAAGATTCTGGATCCACCTTTTATTATACCCCAAGGCAGTCTGGGGGATGGGGGAAAGGAGAGTGAGAGAAAAGAGGTGATCCTCCTTCTCTGAGATTATGGCTGCAAGTTTCAGATAGAAGAGCCTCCTACCCAACCAAGACAAACTTGAAAGCACTGAGCCATTTTGACCCTAATGGGCTAATCCAGATGAGACTCTATAATGAAGCTCCAGAATGTTCCCCACATGCAGTAAATAGGCAGCGAGGAAGCATTGGAGAAGGAAAGTGAAAAGTGGCAACCAGCTTTGGAGATGTATTGGCTTCCCACCCACCTTCAGCATACACACACATACTTCTATGCCCTGCATGTCTGGGCAGGGGTCCATGGCCCTAATTCAAGTATTATGTGCCCCTCCTCCCCATCTAGCAGCCTAAACCCTGTCTAGAGCAGCAGCATCTCATTTAAGGTCAATAAGAGGGGTTCGAGCAACTTAAATGGGGATGGGAGGATGTGCCTAGCTGGGCTAAAGGTGTCACAGCCTGTTCTTCAAAGTGTCTGGGCCTCAAGAATAAACACCCCACAAAGAAGACACATTTAACATCATGTCATAAAACTTGAGAGAGAAGTGACTTCCCCCCACACTCTGTACCTCTCCACACATAAATGCACGCAAACACTTGCCCATTAACCAGCAGAAATAGCACATCGGGACTATTTCAGAATAGTATCTGAAACATAATAAAGTGTTTTTAAAAGTAATCCACAAAAGGACAGTTCTCACCAGTCATCCTTGAAAATGCTCCACCTCCAGGCCCAGAAACCTCCCAGGAGCTTATTACAGGTAGACAGTGCCAAGATCAGCTCAATCTCTCCCTAGGCCCAGCCCATTTTCTGCGGCACATGTGTGCACTCCTCCACTTTCTCCATCCCTCACACCCACTCTTCCTCATTCATGCCTCTGCCTGGCCAATTCCCACACATTCTTAAATGTCAATATAAATGTCCCCTCCTTCACAAAACCCATGGTTGGCTCAAGTTCCCTTCCTGTGTGCATCTTCACCGATATTAGCATTAGCTGACGGCATTGCAGTTGCATGTTGACTTGTGTCTATCTTCTCCACTGAACTGTAGGTTCCTTGAGAACAGAGACTACGTCTCTAGCACCTCCCACAGTGTTGGCATATAGAAGTGTTCAATAAACATTTGTTGAATGAATGAACAAATCTGAACTAAATTAATGGTTGGGATAAAAAAAAAAAAAAAGAATACTTAGGTGTACTGAGGAACGAACCAACAAACCTGGTGAAAGGGAAGTAGAAGTGCCCTGGCATGAAAACTGGGTGTTCTCCCTAGAGTTCACAATGAACCTGCTAGGTGACTGCAGAGCCAGAGATGGGTGCTGCTGAATGGGCAATGTCAGAGGGCAGAGGAAAGAGTAGCAAAGCCAAACCAGCTGCTCCTTGTAAGAAAACGGGAAGGAACCACCATGTATATATGACTATCCCTTAAGGGAACCACATGGTGGTTCCTTGTATACATGCTGGAGCATTTTCAAGGAAGAATGGGCTCCAGCTCCACCCAGGATGATACAATAGGTAGTTCATCATTTTTTATGGCTGAGTAATAGTCCATTGTGTACATAAACCACATTTTGTTAATCCACTCATGTATTAATGGGCACTTGGATTGTTTCCACATTTTTGCAATTGTGAATTGTGCTGCTTATAAACAATTGAGTACAGATGTTTTTTTTTCATAGAATGTCTTTTTTTCCTTTGGGTAGATATCCAGTGGTGGCATTGCTGGATCGAACTTTTAAACTTTTAGTTCTTTGAGGTATCTCCATACTACTTTCCATAGAGGTTGTACTAGTTTGCAGTCTCACCAGCAGTGTATGAGTGTTCCTATCTCTCCACATCCACTCCGACATTTGTTGTTTGGGGACTTTTTGATAAAAGCCATTCTCCCTGGGGATAAGTGATATCTCGTTGTGGTTACAAGACATGTATTATCATCACCTTCTTACAGATAAGGAAACAAATGCTCTGAGAGGCTAATAACATGTCAAATCCATAGCAAAGTTGGTATTAGAACTTGGACCTTCTGATTCCAGAGTCCACTTTTTTTTTCACTCTGCCTCATTGCTTCTCCATTTTTCATAGACCCGGATGTCCATTTCCACATTCTGGGAAATGAGATGCTTGTAGCTAGGAAGCTGGGCACCCTGGAAGCCATGGTATTTGATGTGGAGTGGTAGCACTGAATCAATAAACAGATGAACA